CACACACACAGAGAGAGAGAGAGAGAGAGAGAGAGAGAGAGAGAGAGAGAGAGAGAGAGAGCAGGGAGGCACTATGTGATACACAGCATCTGGAAGAATCCATGGAGCAGAGCTATCACCCCGACACTTTACAGACACACCAACAAGCACATAGGGCACTGATCAGCTGGAGCTGTGTATCAGGGGCCTAAGAGGGTTGGGACACAAGGCCACCATGCTTCAAGCTGCTCTTTCCCTGAACTATCCTTGGTTCTTCACATCCAGAGCTCACGGTGTCTTTCCTCTCCATCTCCCTACAGCTTGGCAGAGCTGGAGAAGGAGATTGGCACTCTCAGGAGGGGCCTCCGAGCCGTGGAGATGGTAAGTGAGCTTGCTGGGCCTGAGTGGAGGCTTCCCAAGGAGAAGCCAGTGTTGCCACCATCACTGTGCCCAATGCTCCCTGCCACCACATCTCAGACACCAGAAGCCCCATATGATGCACTTTGATGACCCAGGGCTCCTGGATGGGACGGTAGGACAGCTGCACAGTGGACAGAGCCTTCAGGAAAAAGTGATCCACCTTTTTGGGGTTTGCACATAGATCCTTACCGAAGGGCTGTCTGTCTGAGACTGTCACTATTCACTGAGCAGGGAGGTGTTCACATGGTGGACTGAACCCTAGGATTGTCACATGCTCATGTTTGATCATAGTAAATGCAGAGGCTGAGCTGACTACAGGAGGCGTATAGCAGTGTGGCAGTGGGGACCGCTGTCTCCGTGAGATCCTACCTTACAGCTCTTCCCTTCCCTCGTGGAGGCTGAAGACTCATTCCCTCTTTGATGAGAACTCTGGTATCTTAGTCCTGTGATGGGGCTAAAACAAATCCATTATTGGGTCAGCTTTTAGAAACAAAAGACATTTACCTCTCATAATTTGGCAGGATAGGACATTCAAGATCGAAGTGTGGGCAGGTCTGATGTCCAGAAAGGGCCTGGTCTTTATGGGTGGGACCTTCTTATTGTGTCCTCACCTGCTAGAATAGGGCAGCTATACAAAGACTTTTCCCTTAAGACCTGGTCACTTGACAGAAGTGTCCAACCCATGACCCTTAGGCCACATGTGCCCCAGAGCAGTGAATGGGGACTGACCACAAACATACTTAAGACGTTATGAATGCTTTTATGACTATCTTTCCACAACTTGGTTGTGTACTTCTCAAGTGTGCACTTTGTAGCTAACAACATTGTGTCATAGTGTCCAATGTATGCATGCACCTATGAGATCCCACCTCCTTGCTTTGCTGTAGGGGTTAGGGTTCCAATACAGGAATATTGAGAGGATACAAACACCGGATCCCAGCACTGAGTATCTGGTCCTGTTACCGCCATTGCTCTTCTCATATCTTCATAGGTGATGCAATGTCAAGGACATCTGCAACTCTTTGTCCCTCACTATGGAACTAGAGAACGTTTCCTAGAATTCCCATGAAGGAAGGGGGAGGATAGGAGGAGAACTGATTCGGGCTGAAGTTAAGAATTAGGGAACCTTCTGTTGCTGTCATGGGTGAGGGTTTCTGTTTGGATGGTCCTGAAAAGGGCTACCAGAGTGTGGATCACAGCCCAGATCACAGCAGGACTTCCCAGATGCTGCTGCTCAATTCTGGGTCACACTGTAGGTGTTTAGTGGCATTGTCAAGAAATGGGTCACAGAGTACAACAAACCCACGTGCGAGTTTATTGGGGGGGTGAAAGAAGGAGCTGTGGTGTTCCACTGAGAAAGGAGTGAGGAGAGTGGGGGGCAGGCAGAGCTTCCTTAAAAGGGAAGTTTTGTACATGTGTGCAGAGCCTCATGTAGCCATACAACACAGGATGTAGCCACATAACACATGATGTAGCCACTCAGTGCGTGACATAGAGACATATGGCCATAGGGCCCCCAGGGCTGATTAAGTATTTACCTGTATGCTGGTGGGTATGTCCTGCTGACTTTCAGAGGGCGGGCCAACATAATGCCTACATCCTAGCACACACATCATTCAAAAGCCATTACAAAAGGACAATGGTCCTGATGGTTAAGGAAGTATATGAATTGCTATACAAACAACTCTCAAAGCCATCATTATCTTTAGAATTGTGAACCCAGGTGTCATCTTTTCCAAAGGCATGTGCCACATCCTGTGGCTAACAAGGAGCATATGGTGGTCCCTGGACTCCATCTGCCTAAATCATGCTTTATCCTCCCTTCTCAGGAGTTGGAATATCAAAGCTGCCAGGCACGGGACCCCAATGACAAGTTTGTCCCTGTCATGAGTGACTTCATCACAGTGTCCAGCTTCAGTTTTGCAGAGCTGGAGGACCAGCTCAATGAGGCCAGAGATAAGGTAAAGGTGGCCCAGCAACCCCCATCTGCTTCTCAACTCATTCTTTTCTAGGCCTGGTACTTTCACCTGATCCTACCATGGACAGGGACACAGCCGGTGTCTCAGAGCCTAGAGACATCCCATCTCTTCTCTCCTTCAAGGCAGTGACAACCTTGTACTGCAGAGATCAGGGTCCACTTTTTAGGTATCCAGGCACCATAAGCATTATTTTAAATTTTATTTTTGTGTATGTGTATGAATGTTTGCGTGTGTGCTTTTGTACACATTCATGTGGAGACCAGAGGTCAACCTCAGGCGTCATTACTCAGGAGCCGACCACCTCATTTTTTGCAAAAGGGTCTCATTAGGACCTGGGGCTTAATGAGTAGGGTAGCCTGGCTGACCAACAAGCCTCAGAGGTCTTCCTGTAGTTCCCTCCCCATTGTTGAGATCACAGCACCACACCCAGACTTTATCTGAATATTTGGGATCAAACCCAGGTCATTGCCCTTGCATGGCAAGCACCTGACTGAAGAGCCCCACCCCAGCCCCACCAGCATCTCATCATGTCTCCATCACCTACCTTACAGGTTTGTTGAAAGTTTATAGTCCCATTCAACAGATGGAAACACTGAGAATCAGAGGGTTTCAGTCACATGGGCAAGCATCTTGAGTGCCCAGCTCAGTCTTGAACTTGCTGGCATTCTACCTGCTTCTGTGAGGATGGGAATGGACCCATGTGGGGTTCACTTTAATTTGTGGCCTCTTATTTAGAAGATGGGGTGGGGGGCTGGAGAGCCAGCATTTCCAGCAGACTCCCAGAAGGTGCACAGGCTGCTGGTCCCAGGAGGACTATTTGGGTGGGGGCATTCCCTAGATGGTATTGTGTGAGTTGGGTAAGAGAACGCAGTGCTCAGACAAAGTCAGAGTGGTGCCTGCTTCATGTAAACAAAGTCTGTTGCTTCTGTCTGTCACCCCACTTGACTCCCAAAATAAGACCATGAAGCTGATCCCCACTTTACAGGTAAAAAAGTTGAGTCTCAGAGGGCTAAGTAAGTAACGCACCAACTAAGTGACCCAATGGTTAGATGGTATGTGAGGGCCCTTTCCATTCCAGCCAGGCAGTGGCTGACTAGAAAAGTCTCCCACAGGTCACCATCTCCTGATCCCACACCTACAATATAAAAGATCCAGAGGTGGCATAAAAGTAGAGTATCAAGTAGACTCAGCTTATCTCCACAGAAGTCACCTCCATAGTTTTTTGGGGGGATAACAGGGTAGGGACAAAGAATGAATCCCTAGTGAATCTGGATTGAGGCTTCCATGGGTGAACCCTGGGGTTTAAACTATCTGTCCCCATGCCTACAACCACCCCTCCCCACCAGCTTGGACTGGGCTCAGCTGGGACCTAGCTAGCTGACTGCAGGCTTGGGCTCAACACACTTCTCTGTCTTTTACAGTTTTCCAAGGCACTGACGCACTTCGGGGAGCAGGAAAGTAAGATGCAGCCAGATGAGTTCTTTGGCATCTTCGATACCTTCTTGCAGGCCTTCTTAGAGGCCCGGCAGGACCTGGAGGCCATGAGGAGGAGGAAGGAAGACGATGAACGGAGGGCACGCATGGAATCGATGGTGAGGGCTGGGCCTGGCTGGGGACAGGAGGCAAGGGTGGGTGTGGAGGGGAGGATGCTTGGTTTGTGTGAAATAAAATAGGAGCTGGGCACACTTTAGGGGCCACTATTAGCCCCAGAAGAGAGAAACAGCTCCCAGCTTGGGGGCAGAAAGCTATATAAGGTGGGGAGGGCAGGGCATCTTGAGAAGAGGCAGAGTGGTCACTGGTGGGTGAAGGGTGTCCAGGGGATGGGTAGTGGAGTCACTTCTTTTCTCCACTCTCAGCTGAAGGAGCAGCGTGAGAAAGAAAGATGGCAGAGGCAGCGGAAGGTCCTGACGGGCAGCACCCTGGAGGAGAGTGGCGAGTTTGATGACCTGGTGTCAGCCTTGCGCTCTGGAGAAGTTTTTGACAAGGACTTAAGCAAGTTCAAGCGCAGCCGCAAGCGAGCAGGGACTCAGACCCCAGAGGTCACCCGTGAGCGGGTGATGAACAGGCTAAATTATTGACTGGGGGACTGGGTTCTGGCTACACAGCAGCTGGCCTGGAGACAGGGACTAGGGGAGGAGTTCATAGAAGCAGCAATGACTTAAGTGATTTGGAGAGCTGGGTTTGGGAGCCCTGGGCTGGATCCTGGGGGCTGTGTGTGGTAGACCAGGTGTCTACCACACTGACAGAGGGTCTTCTCTCATCTCCCTTTATTCATTCTCACCCTGTCTCTCTCTGCGCCCCCCCCTTTCCTGGCCATCACTCTCTAAGACTATCTTGGACATCCCTGGCAGGCCCTGGGCTTTGGTCAGGAAATCCCAGCCTGGAGGACACAGTTCTCCACACCACACCTCATGTTGGCATAGAGCTATTTAAAATCCAGGAGACACATTCCTTCTCTGACCTCTTGTACAGTATGTGAGGGCGGAGTGGGACCTGACAGCCAGCAGTAGGGACTCTAGGCTCTTATCAGAAGAGACAGCTCAGTGGAACATGGATCTGGGGTGGAAACTAGAGGCCTTGTGTGTTGTAGTACAATAAGCTCTAGCAAGCTCCCACATGTAGAAAGGGACCAGGAGCCAACAAGTGAGTTATCTGCCTTTTACCTAGAGCAAGTCCTGGGGCCTCTCCTCTTCCCTCAGCCACCTCCATCTTATCTACTAGTTTCCAGTCCCAGAATTCATCTCTGGATTCCAGAGCTCTGGATCACCACCAGCTTACGGTATGGCTCTGTAGGGCCCCAAAGCTAACCCCAGTGCAACCTTAAGATTGTCCTGGAGAGACAGTGATCTGGGTCCCCAGTAGTTCTTCACCAAGGACTAGTACATGATTCACTCCCCTAGGAGAGCCCCTTCTGCCATTTCACTCAGCTGGCCCCTTCCATGTCTCCATCTGAGGTTGAATGGAGCTCCATGTACTTGACTGCAACTGGCCTTGGGGAATTGTTCCTGAGGGCTAGAGCAGGCAGGAAATGCTGAGATGAAGGAGGGAGATCTTGTGTAGGCTGCTCACTTCAGGGTTTGCCCCTGCATCTGTAGATGCTCCGGTTGATTCTGCAACGTGACTTGCATGGGACCATTCTGGTCCTCCTGCTCACTCATCTTCTGTTCTGTCCATCTTCAGTTGTTTTTAATGGTACCGGTGGGCAGCACTACTATATCATAGGCAAATATTCTAAATGGAGCAGGTAAGATCAACTCCATGAAGGTTCTTACTGTCTTATACACCCCTGTTCTCTCTTATCTTGAGACCTATCTTGCCTGATTACTGTCCACCAGCTCCTGACTTCTCCTCTAACCCCTGGCTCAGGGTTGTTGCCAGTGGCTGTGGGATGCTCACACCTGTCACTGCCTGTCTTATTTTCCTACACAAGATTCCTAGGGGTGGGACCGTAGTTGTGGGGAGGGGAAACACAGGGTTAAGCTGGGCATTGCACTGGTTTGAGAGGGGTCTCAGCAAGTAGAAGCCTGGCCAGTACAGATGTGGAGAAGCCAGTCTTCCAGGGCAAAGGCTTCTAAGAAGAGTGGTTACTGTCCTGCCCACCCCCAACCTCACCCTCCCCGAGCTACTGAGAATGGAGAGGCTGGAGCTGGACATCTTCCCATCCTCTTCCAAACTGGCCAGACTGTCAGTGAACAGGCACGTCTGTCTGGCCTTCCCAACCACCATGAAGACTGGACACACACCAGGAAAGACAAGGAAGATGGAAATTCTTGAAGGAACACATTGGATCCTCAGAAAAGCCATTTGGCATCTCTCCAGAGCCCAGCCTTCTCACCCCAAAGAATTTTGCCTTCTCTATTTATTATTTTCCAAATCTGGCCAGTGGCTCTGGTGCTGTATGTCTTTGTAACCAGATTTCAACAGTGCCTTGGACCACACGGACCTTTGTGGGCAACTCAGCAGGAAGTGACTGGTGCCCAGTGGAAGTGGATAGGCTGGTCCTCAACATTAAATGAAGTCTACCCCCAGTACAGTCCCACCCATCCTGCCACTTATGGGTCAACTGCTCCAGTTAACTTTGTGCACAATGTAAGATTTAGTCCAGTCAACACACTCCTCAGCAGCGGCAATTCCCTTCTCAAGATGGAAGCTGGTCCAGGGGGTGGAAGGACAAAACTCTCCAGGTGGGCCACAATAGGTATGGGCTCTTCCCATCCATTCCTACTGCTACCAACTGGGGAGCTGTGACCGTCTCCCCAGGACATCTGCCAACCTTCATGTCAAGGCCACTCTTGCCGGCTGCTGCAGAAGACAAATAAGGTTCATATGTACAGAACTCTAGTGTCCTTTTCACCTGCCCTTTCATAAGAATATATTGTAATACTAAAGAATATTAAATTTGTCCCCACCCCCAGCTTGCCTAGAAACTTATCTTTGTCCCATGTGGACTTGAGTTGTACTTGATTGGGCTGAACCAGTGATGGGCTGAAGCTAGTTCCTACTAGTTCCACCCAGTTCTGTAAGTGCCAATGTACATTTTCTGGAATGTTCCAAGCCAGTTGAGGTTATGTGGGTGGCTTGAGATGGGAACGTTTGTGTCACAGGAACCCATTCATTTTTTAAAGACCAATTGTCAAACATTTGTCATCACACCTCTGTATAAGGCAGAGGAAGTGCCAGGCCAGGCGTACCACTGGAGAAGTCACCCACATTTGAGAACCCAGCACGCCAGGCCATTGTTTGGGGTGCATGAACCAGGAGCCTCTTATTCACAAGCCTGATCTCCAAGAGTTTGGTGATATAGCTGAGCTGGGACTCGCACCTGTCAAACCACCTTAGGGCGCATTCTGCATTTCTCACTCTGTCTCCTCTAGGGGAGTCCAGAGAACATGTCCCCTGCCTTTGTAGGGCCCCTGTTCCCACCCCACCCCATTCATAGAGCATCTTAGGTAAAACATAGCCGCCGTGCTCTTCTCACAGACAAGAGTCTTTGTCTCCAAAGCTGGCTTTATTTGTGCGCTGAGGAGGAAGGTCACCTTCAACTCTTCTTTCCCTGATATGTGCCAGAGGAGAGGTGTGGACAGACCACAGAAGCAGAACCAGCTGTGGGTAAAGGTTGGCATGAATCCTTAGGGTTGTAGTCCTTAAGTGTGCATCCCCTTGGAGGAGAGGGCTGGAGGCCAGGCAGTTGGGATGCTATGATGTGTTCTTTAGGAAGCTTGTGCTTTTCCTTTCTCAAAGGGGTTCCTCTGCTTAATGAGCCCTTGTTATCTCCCCGGGGAAGAGAAGCGAGAACCCTAAATGAGAAGGGCTGCTTAAAGCTGCCCATCTGAAATAACTCAAGTAATATGACATGATGGGGCTCGGGGGGTGGGGGGGGGATCCAGTATCAAACCTCCCATTGATGGAGTCTTGGAAGGTGTCAAGGATGGAGGTGCTTTATGCTGAGGACATCTCCCAGGCTACGATAAATATCACTAGTAAAGAGGCAGGGTGACCCTAGGTCACAGTGACTAGATTTAGAGGAATGTGACGTCTTTTCCTTGGCCCAAATTGCATCTCCTTGGGAGACATGACTGCAGTGAGTGAGTGAGGCACCCTAAGCCCGATGGAAGTCCCCCCTCTGACCCCCAGTCTTGCTGATCAGCTTCACCTCTGCCACCACGATGTCCCTACTGACTGCCTTGCACATGTCATACAGGGTAAGGGCAGCCATGGCAGCCGAGGTCAGGGCCTCCATTTCTACACCAGTGGGGCCCCGGGCCCGGCACGATGCCTGGATCAACACAGCATGGCGTGTGCTGTCCAGCTCCAGCTGTACCTGCACGTGGCTCAGGACCACTTGGTGGCACAGGGGGATCAGCTGACTAGTTAGCTTGGCTGCCTGGACTCCAGCCAGCTGGGCCACTGCTAGAGCATCTCCCTTCTTCAGCTGGTTCTGCTGGACAAGCTTGAAGGCCACAGGTCCAAGAAGGACCACAGCAGAGGCGACAGCCACCCGCTCTGTGTCTGGCTTCCCGCCCACATCTACCATAGCTGCTCGTCCTTCTGAATCCACATGAGTTAGCTGAGTTGAGGTTGGCCCTGGTCCTGGGGGGACAGCAGGATCCTGGGAGCCTTTGCTAAGGCACGTTGAGTGAGTATCAGAGTCTGGGTAGTAGCTGTAGTGTCTCTGAGGGGAGCCAGACCCCAGGCACTGCCGAGACAGAGGGAGGGCCATGGGAACATGGAGTCTTTTCCACAAAGTTGCCATCTTATCAGAGAAATTCTCCCTGGCACTCCGATTCCGAACACAGAGGGGATCCCAGAAGAAAGTGCTCCAACTAGCTGGTGGGGAATCTTCAAGCATCAGAAATGACCCTGAAAGGCAAGAGAAGAGATTGAGCCTGCAAACGGGTCCTTTTTCCACCTCTTCTCCTGACCCCTCACTGTCCCACCAGGAGTTCTCATTCACAATGGGGAGAAGGAAAGACAAAAGCAGACAGAGAGCTGGGCTTGACAACGGTGCACGTCCTTAATCCCAGCAGAGGTAAGTAGATCTCTGTGAGTTCAAGGCCAGCCTGGTCTACAGAGAGAGTTCTAGGACAGCCAGTGCTATTATATAGAGAAACCATGTCTTAGAAAACAAAACAAGTAGACAGAGAAGAAACCAGAGAGAAGGTGCCTAGATTTGGTTTGTGCTCTTCAGACAGTGGTGCAAGACCACTTATGTGTCTCCTGTGCTTCTGAACTTGGTCCCCCAAATTTTGCCTTAGGCCTGAAGACTGATGCCTGGAACAAGCAGCCTTTTGATGTCCATATCTTTTCCTAAGCCTAGCTAGGTCCCACCCTGAATTACCAATCACAGGTATTTTTACCTTGATACATGGACAATGAACAGCAATCGTCTGATTGACAGGTAAGACACTAAGCAAACAGCTCATCTACTAAAGCAATGTCAAGTCTCTATAAGTCCTCTTATTGGACATTAAGGGACAGATTGGTTCCCATGTCCAGAAAACCTTGGGGTTTCTGCAGACTGCTGTTTCCCAAAGAACAGACAAAAGATCAGCATTGGCACCCCAACATCAGCAGCTGC